GGATTTTCTGCTGGGAGCGGCGCAGAGTTCCCGCGGGGTTCGGGGTCCTGTCCCCCCAGGGTGCTCCCCAACTTGGCTTTTAAGGGCGCAGGGAAGGGATGGTCAGCGTGGGAAAGAGAAAAACTCCCGCTCCGAGAGTGCGGGGGGAGAGCGGAGGGTTCGTGGGGAAGGCAACACTTCAGAGGGAAAATTAAAAACTCCTTCATTGAGTTTACTTTCTGCTCTTAATTCCAGAGCAGCTCAGTTGTTGCTCGGCGTTGTCCCTTTATTTCAATAGGGTGTTAATCCAATAATAACAACAAAAAAACCCGGAGCCAGCTAAGTCAAAGCACAATCTAATTTCGTGTTTTTTAATACTCTGGCTATCAGTCCCCAGCGAGTGCTGAGCACTCTTCAAAGAGAACAAAGAGCATTGATTCTATTTGTTCCCATGAACTGCAGTTTCTTAATAATATCAGGTGAAGATTTATTTTCTAAGAGTCAAACCAAATCAAGCAGGGTGAAACCTTTCATTTGGGGAGCCTCTCTGCCCCGTTTGCAGTATGTTGGCTCATTTCAGAGCAACTCTGCAACTATTTCTGCACAGGGACTGCACTGGCTAAGTGTTGCACCGCAGACTTTGCCCCAAACCCACACTCCTGCCCGACGGACCGACAGTAAATACATTTTTCCCCCCCAGCAAATTTATATTTCCCTGGGAATCTATGACATTTAGCCAGTGTAACAAGACACTGATAGATATTATAGATCCTTTCTACCTGGGTTTTTCCTTGACAGCCATTCAAGTGCAAAATATAATTGTTGAGGCTATGGAAATAGATCCATAAACTTAACAGCAGTGGAGTCCTCATTAAAACTCCCCTGCTTGTTTCCTACACAATACCCGAGTCTTATGCTCTCTGCTGTTATCAGGCACTTGGCAGTGACCAGTTTGATGTAATAATTAGGAACTGACTTGTTATAAATGAAAAGACAGCTCTGATGTAAGTAGGACTTATAAACACTGTGTCACACCGGCTTATTATTTTTACTACATTTACTCATAATGTAAAAATAGCAGCCAGTCTATTCTTTTTCTGGGAGTTTATTCAGGTCCAACGCAGCTATAATAGGCTCTTCACTGAGAGCTGGCAATGAAGCATGAGAGACAGCTTCTCTTTTCTCAACTCATTCATCTCAATCAGCAATCCTACAGCCAAAAAGGGGGAAAAGGGAGATGGTAGCACAGCGATGTGAAGCCCCCGAGCACGGATCAATGCATCTGTTAACCTGCAGCTTCTGATCTCTAGAAACTAACTGAGCTTTATGAGAAAGCAAATGCTAAGCATGCTGTTGAAGCAGACATCCCTAAATTGTGGAGGAAAAGTTGGGGAAACAAATAGAAAGGGAATTATCCAGAGCTAAATTTCTCTTCTGGATATGTGCCTCCCACCTTCTTGGATGAGCTCTCCCTCCTGGATCTAATGCTGAGAGAGGGTTTGACTTCTTAGGGTTTTTTTTCCCTTCTAGTTCTTTGTCATTTTGTTTTGTAATTACTTACAGTTTTTATAGCTCTACTGGAAAGACAACAAAATTGCAGAAATGTTGTTCTAACCTGAAATGAATACTGGGAAGGTCATTGCTCTTTGGATTAGGTGAACCTAAATGTTATTAGGACTTTAAATTGTTTTTTATTAAATGTTATTGTTCAGATAAATCATGTGTGGGGATGCTGGACAATGTATCTGTCTCTCCAGCTGTCTTATTTATTCGCTTATCTTTTTAAGACTACCAATTTGTCTGTCTGTCCCTGCTCTATGTCTGCATATTCTCTGTCTTCTAACGACCTATAGCTGCTTCTTGATATTATTTGAAGACCCATTAGGGCTCCTGTTGTCCAGCTGCTGTTACAAAGCGAAGACCTTAAATGGGGCAGCAGTCCTTCCCTTCTCCCAGACAGCAGAAAAGCCATAAGCATCTTACTATGGATTGCTTTTTATTAAAGTTGTACATCTCCCTGTTACAAAAACCTGGCTGGAGGCTTGAGAAGTCCAGCTGAGAGCTCTGCCTCCTGGGGGACCCCTGTTCTTACAGCTCTTGTTGCTTCAACTGTCCCCTCTTACTCCCACCTAATTTGTCTTTCAATTTCTTGCAGGTGCCACTTGCTGATGAGCTCTCTCTTTGCCCTGACCATGAAAGAGAGAGGAAATCTCAGGTAGCCACATGGCTTGCAGCTGAAGGCTTTGGGAACTTGGTGCTCTGTTGCCAAAAGGCAGAGTCAGACAAGTCCTCACCTGTGAGTGCCTCACCACCACCACAGGACGCAGCAGGAGAAGCAAAACCAACGCTGCCCCTGTCAACCCAGTGACCACCCAGTGCCCTGCTGGGACCACCACGGATCTTGACACCAAGCCTGTTTATGTTGATGCCACCATCCTTTGGGAAAAAGGAATTTTGGCTCTGAAGAGTCTCCCTTGTCAGAGCTGTACTGATGACCAGATGCTCTATTTATGTGTTAATGTTCCAACGCACCGATAATTAAGGCAGACACAGTTTTAAGGCACTTTTGCACACTGACACATTTGCAGCAGACAAGAAGGTTGAGGAAAACCTGATCCAGCACCATCTCACGGCCTTTCCAATTTACTCCTATCAAATTTCATCAGCAACTCAGAACTTGATCTTTCTATTGATTGACTGGAGTCACCTCTAGATATTTTCATGCTGATTTGGAAGCCCTTTCGTACCATAAAAAGGGGCAAAAATGAGGTTAAGGAAGACTTTTGACCACTGATCAGCAACTCCGGCCAAAACTTTCCCAATCAAGTGAATTGCAAAGTTGGCTTCTGTGCCGAGAGGAACTTTCCACATCCAGATACAGCGTGCAGACTGGGATCATCCCTGTTACTGGCTGGATCTCCTTCGACTGGATCATTTTTAGATGAGGAGTTTCCATGCTGATCCCGAGAGCAACCCCTAGCCCAGTAGCTGCCTTCCTCGGGACTCTCGGCACTGCCCTCGCCCAGGGACCCCACGCTTGGCCGCAGCTGCAATGCTCTACCTGGCTGCTCTCCTCTTGCACTGTCTCCCCTTGGCCATGGGACAGTATGACATTTGCAAGTCCTGGGTGACCACGGATGATGGCCCATCATGGGAGTTTTATGCTTGTCAACCTAAGGCCATGAGGATGAAGGATTACGTGACGGTCCGGGTGGATCCGGCAGGAATCACTTGTGGGGACCCTCCGGAGAGGTTCTGCACCCATGTAAGTGTTTCCCTCCTTATTTGATGTGTTAGAACAGACTCTGCTGGTGGCCAGAGGCAGTGTCCTGCTGAGATGCTGTTACAAGGACATTTCTGTTCAGGGTGGCCGTGGTGGCTGCTGCCTTGAGCTCTCAGTCTCCTGCTCTGCAAAGTGGGGAGAAGGTACCATGCCCATCTCAGTGTGTGCTGAGGAGGGGACAGATCTACAGCAGAGATGGTGCCAGCACACTGAGGGGAGGGCGAGGGGGAGTCAGGGAGGGCTGAGCAAGTCCTGGGTAAGCTATGGGTTTGGGAAAAGCTCTGCCTGCCATGAGCACACAACCCCGAGCTGCCCTGAGCATCTCTCAGCCTGCTAAAGTGTGTGGGGTGTCCCATCCCAAAGGGCTTCTCTGCACCAGGGTGTTATCAGAGGAGGGTACATCATCTCAGTATGAGTGAAGGGCAGAGTGGTGGAGGTCAGTGTGGTCCCTGCACACCAACAGCTCTGGCAGTTGGTCTGACAGCCACAAATTTCATTTGAAGTCTCTGAAAATGTGGTTCCCCCTCACTTCTAGCCTCCACATGAAAAGACTCTGTGGACAGATATTTGCCCTTGTAGGCAAAATCTTTAACTTATTTTCTCTTAAATATTAATCATTG